TTGCTCTCCATCCTTTCTTTTCCTCTTAAGGAAATATAGCTGTCTCACATAGCAAAAAAGGTTTCATAAATATTTTATGTAAACTTGTTGAATTTCTTATATGTTTTCTTAACATTTGTTTTATTTTCAATAATTCACTCAGAATATATAACATCTGCTTAAAATATTTGACCAAATCAGCTCTATTGACGTAAATCAACAAACCGATTGCAATGCAGGGAAAAATTGCCATATAATTCTTATGTAATCCATCACTGAATCACTGTGAAAGGACTTATGTTTGGAAAGCTTTTAATTTTTTGTTATAAAGTTCCTAGAAACAGATGTGAAAATTCACTCGTATCCCACATTGTCTAGTTCAAGCAGCTGTAAATTATTTCATGGATTACACTTGAATGAAATGAAAGTCCTAGGGTTATTTAATCGAGGCAGCTGTTATTTCCTTAAATTAAATCAAAACAGTTCTTTGCTTGATTAATTCTTGGTTATTTGGATGGTATAAAGATAAAGTGCTGACATGTCTTTAGTCATAAATTCGTTCATTTTTCTCAATTAGTGTCTCTGTGGCTCAAAAGATGCGTAGCAATTTCATTGGCTCACTTTAAAAATAAATTACTGCTTTGGGCTTTCTATTATGGAAGAAATATGTATGATACTTTCTTCTTTTAAATATAGCATTCATATAATGTGCACATTTTACTTGTAGAGGAAGTTAGACATAAGAAATGTCGCTGCTTGGTTTTAACTGATAATTCTGTCAGCTTCTCTCAGCCATACGGCCTATAGCTCCATTCCTCACTCCCTTCCTAGCTCCAGATTGTCCTTCTAACCAGCTGCCAAACATCCATATGCTGTGTTGCAGATAGCCATCTCAGCACGTGTGAAACCAAAGGTGTTATCTCTTTCTGTGTCCCCTAAAGGTGGTAATATTGAGAAACCCGCTAGGATTTCACATTCAATAGTTTAGTACAACCTAGCAAACCTTCCTCTGAAATCACCTTCCAATCCAAGTCTTTCTCTTCTGACTGCCATGCCCTTAGCCCAGGCCCTCAGAAGCTTATCCATGTGCTATTGATCCTTTCTGCTTCATTGCCCTGTTTCCAGTTTTCTCTTTTCCGAATGGCTGTAGGCAAATGCTGCAAGTGCATTTCTTTACAAACCAATTTTCCCAAAGCGGAGTCCACATAAAGATCAATTGGTCAAATAATTAACTGAGTTTATCAAATTATACAAAGTTCGTATAGTCAGTAAATATCAATGAATGCCTACTTTGGGCTAGACACATTTCTAAGGCACTGAAATTACAATAGTGAATGAGAAATACTTAGTTCCTATCCAGAAAAGAAACAGATTTTTTAAAATTAGATGAATAATTATAAGGGTATGGGTATGTGTGTCTGCATATATATATATATATATATATATATATATATATATATAGAGAGAGAGAGAGAGAGAGAGAGAGAGAGAGAGAGAGAGAAAGTAATGATGAGTGCTATGGGATAAAAAATAAAGCCAAACAGGAGAATAGCAAGTAATGAAAGTAAATATTCTTTTGAATAGAGGCAATGGATAAGATTATATTATTCTCATAAATATTACTGGATGTAGTTGATATGTGTTCTTATTTGCATCAGTTTAAGGAATTTTTTATTTAGTCTAAAGCTATAGGATATAAGATTAGTTTATTTCAAAATATAATTTTATTAAGATATTTATGAGATATATGTTCCAGAACAGCAGCGTCCTACAGAAATATGTGAGCCCCACATTGGAGCATCATGTGTAATTTTAAATTTTCTCACAGTCTCATTAAAAAAGGGAAAAGAAACGCGGAAAGTTAACTTTCATAATAAATTTTAATTCAGTATGTCTAAAATATTCTTATTTCAATATGTAGTCAATATAAAACTTATAAATTAGGTATTTTGTATCATTTTCATAATAAGTCGTCTGAATTCTGTAAGCATTTTACTCTTACAGCACATCTCATCTTGAACTAGACCCATTTCAAGTCTCCATAGCAGCACGTGGCTAGTGACTAATGAGTTAGATGATACAGTTCTTGAATATATGGTTATGTTGACTATATTAAATATATTCTTGATATTTAGTTGACCATATAATTGTATATTCTTAAATAAGAATATATTAATGACAACTGCATTTAGTTATGAGTAAGATATTTATAACCTCACTCAATGAATATATTAGTTGAATATATTCATTTCAATGAAGCCTGTTTCATAGATTATAATATTGACTATGTTCAAAAATAATATTCTGAAAGTTAATATTTTAAAAATTTAGAAAATTCTTTATTTCAATTAATGCACTTACAGTTATCATCTTAAAATACAGATTTGATCGCTTTATCCTCCTTCATCATCTGAGACACAGCTCTTTTCCAGTGTTACGCTCTGCTCTCCCTATACATCTGAGATTGTAGTCACATAGCTGTACCACAGTCCCCAAAATACTATGTACTTTCAGATCTCTCTCTCTCTCTGTGCTTTGTCATACTCTTCCATTTTTCTGAAAAACCCTTCATCACCAGATCTGGCTTGTATGCTTCTACTCAACAGTTACCCGACTTACTAATAATTCCTTATCATTCAAGTTTCAGTCAGAAATCTGAAATTAGTCTACATAATTCACATGGAATACTGCCAAGTGCTAATAGAGAATATCAGACAGTTTTTTTTTTAACCTCAGTTAGTTGCTTTCTCATTTGTTTCCATAACATTTAAAACATGTATTTTTATTTTTTTCTGAGATACAGCTGATTTATATTATATATTATATTGTATTATATTATAATATTATATCATCTACTTTCTTAACTAGACATTAATATTCACTAGATAGTTTGATTTCAAAGTATCAAAGTAGAGCAAGTATATTTTTTAAAATTTCCATCAGGTTATTTTTTATATAATATTTCTCTACCACTGTTACTTTAAGAACCATGGAAGTCTTTGGTGAAAAAAAATATTTCTGATTGCTTCAAAGAAATTTCTAGTTGGCTAGAGTCTCTCCTTAATATACTGAATTTGTATCCACTTACAACCAAAGAGGATATATCTATGTGCCTGTAGCACTGAGCTGGATATTGTGGGGGGGATATAATGCAAAAAAAAAAAAAAAAGAAAAAAGAAAATATTTTGGAAAAAGGCCCCAAAGGAAATGGAGGGAAGGAGACAGGGAGGAAGAGAGGGAGAAAAAAAGCGAGGAAGGAAGATTGATGCCATTGATGTTCTAAGACTCTTAAGTTTCTGTATTTAAAAAAATATCCCTTGCATTTTTCTCCCTTAACTTATCCAGTATTGAAAATTTTTTGGACAGGATCTTACTCAAATTCTTTAATTTGTTTTTCTCTTCTCTTTCAATTTATGCAACCTTTTGGAAATTTTCTAAGTTTAGGCATTTCTGTTTCTTTCTCCTGCTTATTTAATCTTAGACACCTGCTCCCCTTCATGTTATCAAGGAAATGGAGCTATGGAGACCTAGATTTGTATTTTATTTTTGTGCTTTGTAAACTAAACATAGATTACTAGTATCCTTCCATGATTAAACAGACGCAAGGTTCTTTGGAGTAGCATCGCCCTTCGAGTTTGGTAAGTACTCGGTAGTTATTAGGAGCTCATCGACCATTCTTGATGGAGTGAATATTGGTAAAGAGAATGAAGGAATGAATATTTCCAGAGTAAGACCTCTCCTGAGACTGCAGCAGGAGCCAATTTTACTGCCATCGTCACAGTTGCATTTGTCTCAAATGAACAAGCATATGAATTCCCGGAGGCTTCTTACGCTAGGATTCTCTTTTCTTCTAGTCTGTGATAGCTATTCTGAGCTGGAAAGAAAAAGAACTGATACCCAGATGGGGATGGGGGTCGCTAGGCAATCTTCAGAAATGCAGTCATAAAATTCATGTCTTATTACTGTCTCAACATATGTCTAGCAACCTACAAATACTTAGATAATTATCATGAAGCTCCACACCCCTATTCTTTATCTTATTAGTAGAAAAAGTGGTGCAGAGGCAAGTAGACAGTTGAGGGTTTTGACCTTTGAACATGTCCTCAGAGGTTAGGGGTAGTCATCATGTCTAGACACTCTGGTGCAGAATGAACCACATGATTTCTTCATGTCAGTAAGAAGAATAACTCAGTAATTGCTTCATTATCAAGTGTGGTGTGCTTTGCAGCTCAAAAAGTAAAACTGAGGAAGCGACTTTTAGCTCTAATTTATAGCAATATGGCTTCCAAGAGATTGTTGCTTCATTTAAACAATCTGCTTTTAAACATTCAATTTCCTCTTTTTATCAATATTGGAGATACCCTAAATTCATCATAGAATTATAATGAGACTGCCTGAGAGAAGCTAAGATTTGGATTAAACCTGAGAGATCATTTAGTACAAAGCAAAAGAGATCATTTAGTCTGCAATTTCTAAATCATCCACAATAATGAATTATCCCACCTATGTTTAAACAATTCTGGGATGGGGTGCTCACATCTCTCACGCAACCATTCCATATGCCTTTGAACAACTATAAATGTTAGTAGGTTGTGTTGACTCATAAATATACTACCCTCTCCTTAGACCCATTTCTTCTGTGGAGAAACAGAGGGAACTCTGATCTATATGACAAACCTTTAGATATTGCCATTGTAGAAATAAATGAAGACCATCCAAATGAGAAGAGGCAGAGACTATTTATACAGGGCTTCTGATAGCAAGGGAGTCAGCCAACATTACTTGGATTTTCCAGAGACCCAAAGGCAGCTAGGAAAGTGGGGAAACTTTATAACTTAAAAAAAAAGGAAAAAAGGGGAAGGGAAGGCTTGAGGTATGGTCTGATTGGAAGTTGTTGGCATGGGGAGGCTGGAGGCAGGGTAACTGGAAGCAGACTATCTTATGCATTGGTTTGGGGAGCATATTTGACTTTCTCTGGCTGGTAGTGAGTTGGAAGTCAGAGTAGGAGGAAAGGAGCTCACCTGTATTAACTAAGTCCTGAATGTTTGGGGTCAACTGCTGCCGAGATTGTGGTTGGCGTCATTGGTTAATTCCAGCAGAGGTTGTAGATCAGTGTTCTAATGTCCCCGTGATCTATCCATTGTCTGTTTGTGTATTCAGTCTCTCAGTCCCCTCTTTTGGTCATTCTCTCCCTTGCAAGGAATTTGGCCAAAAGTTAGGGCTAGAGATTCAGATCTTCACTGCTTGATGATTGCTCACGTGTCTCCATAGTCAATTGTATCATAAGAGCTTCTTAATTCTTTGATGTTGTATTATCATGGTGACCATCTGATGAGAAAGTGCTGCATAGAAGCTTTTAAGACCTGCATTAAGCACCAAGGTTAAGCGTTACGATGATAGAGTTCAATGGACTGGCATCATGACCACTGTGATATAAATAAGGATAATTAAAGGTTCTTTTAAGATGCTTCAGAACCAAGAATCCGAATTGTCCAACCAAGGCCAAGAGCACAATTCCACAGGTCATAAGGGTCAAACTTAGAGAGCCAAGTAGCTTTTTTCTTAAGGCAATATATACTCTCTTCTACCTTACCTGTTTCACTGAGCCAAATACAAAAAGAAGTATTAGCAGTGGCACAGATACTACCGTCACTCATGATTAAGAAGTCTAGGTTGTTCATTACTATTCTTGCCAAAGAATTGAGAATAATCTGTATTCCCTCTGCAGTAGAGGTGGTATCATTTACAACTTCTGCCAAAGTTAAAATGATGTATGTCTCACAGTCTTTTGTTTGTATGATTCCTGTTATTGGAAACACTGCTTAGATTGTTTACATAAACAATGAATCAGTAGCTCCCCCAGGTAAAGTGTCTGAATAATCAAGGATGGCCTCATTCTGGAGCTTGCGTCTGGCTTATAATTTCCCGCTTTAATAATTTATAGAATTAGGGTATCTGTGTACTGATAGTTTTTGTAATACTATTCCTAAAGGGCATGAGATATGAGGATGCGGCAAGCAAGACTGGCCACCCTGGCTGCAGAGGAAGTAGATCTGGTAGGAACACACAGGTATCCAGGCAAAAGGGACTGATTCATGCACCATGTTGAAACCAGGGCCTTACATTGGCTGGATCATCTGAGATTGGTGTTAGGATCACTATGCTGTGATGTAGCAGTTTTAATAAGAATGGAACAAAAGGAAAAAAGGGCCGTCATGGGTGGGTGACATCAAGGAGTCTTCATAATAGAAAATGAAAAGAATGACGGTAAGTAAGCAGATGAAAAACAAAATAGGAATTAGGGGTTGTGATCCAACATCTTGGGCAGAAGCTGTCCACTCTCTGAGGCCATCGGATTGTTCTGAAGGCCTTGAGATATCTGTCTACTGTGAAGATCTAGAGAATCTTGGAGAACCCTCAGTTGGAGGTCCCCTATGAGAATAGACTTCTTGTTGTGTTGATTCTGGATTGCTTCTTTAGTTGTGACATATGAACCCAAGGATTTTCTCCAGGGACTTTTACTTCTGTATTTGCTGTTAGCAGTATCTGGTAGAATCCTATCCAGTGAGGTTCAAGAGCAGTTTTTCTCTGATGTATCTTCCAAAAGACAAAATCTCATAGTTCAACATCATGAAAAGGCTGTTTTAGAAGATATTTTGAGTGTGACCTTACCATCTTGGTAATAGGACTGGATATAGTATATGCGTCTCTTGCAATATTTTGCAATGTCTGTGTACAGCAAAACACATTATAGAATCATAGTTAAAATCCTGAAGCACATTTTCTTCCAGTTGACAGTTCATAGAGAAGTAAACAATGTGTCCCCGAGGGAGTGGACCATGCTAGCATGAGGGAGAGTGGAAGTACGTTTGACTGAGGGAGCTCAAGGGTTTCTAAAATTTTGTTAAATTTATTTAAGAATGTCATTGATTCTTTCCACCTTTCCTGAAGTTTGTAGGTGGTAAGAGCAGTGTGGCTTCTGAGTAAAGGGTAATGCCCTATAGGGTTCTTTCATAATGTTTCTTGCAAAATGTGTGCCTTGGGTACTTAATATAAAAGTTTGTGTTCCCAAAATTGAAAACACAAAATCTGGTAGCCTTTAAGCAACTGTAAAGAGTGTAGCTTTTTGTTAAAGACGTGTTTCAACCCATCCTGAAAATAGACATACAATGACTAAAACATTCACATCTCCTGGAGTGTGGAACCTGCATAAAATTCATCAGCTGCATAAAATTCAAGGGCCCGTGAAGCTTTGATTCCTGGCCATATCCCACCTTTACAGTTTTTCTAGAATTATTTTGTTGACAAATGACATGTCACTTAAAAAAGCCCTCCACTGTCTTTTAAAGTTTCCCCAGCCACGTTGATTTAAGATGGTAACCAATTTATCTGTACCATGATAAGAAGTTTCATGGAGAAATTTAGCTAATATTCATTTGAAACCATCTAGTGTCACCAGGCAGCTATCTTGAGAGCACCAGAGAAGTGTGCTCTGAGTGAAGCTAGAATCATATTTTTTTTTCCTTTCTCTTTTCAGAATGAGGGGCTAAATGTTGATATTTCATAATAGTCCCTTGAAATTCCTTTACAGATTTATCCTTTAAGAGTTTAGATAGGAACATAATCTTGGTTAAGACTGCTTGTTTGGCAAAATGATCTGCTAGAGTATTTCCTTTAGCTTCTATATGATTAATTTTTTTCACGAACCCCAATTTTTATAATAGCTTCTCTTTATGAAGAAGTGTCTTAAGCCTCTTGTCCTTTTTTTTTTTTTTTTTTTTTTTTTTAGCTGAGCCATCCTGCCACCTGTTGGCAGCTCAGCGGCTGCTCAGCTCGGGCTGGACTCAAACCGCTGTTGCTCAGAGCTCAAACTTTTGAGCGAGCTCTTAACCAACTGAGCCACTCGGCCAGCCCGCCTCCTGTCCATTTTTTATTGGGATTTCCAGCAGAGCTGAGAAAATCTTTGCTTCCAAAGCATCCCAGGTCATATTTTAAGAAAAGCAGTCCTTTATAGATATTTATTCTGTGGTCTTTGGCTAGTTGAGAAACCCAAGTAAGGAGAGTAAGTCCGCTGTCTTGGCTAATTCTGCCTCAAGTAGAGGACTATATTCTAAAAGCAAGCTTAAGATAATGATAGCACATTCTGCCCAGTGTCAAGTTTTGATCTATCAACAAAGAATATTAGGTTAAGTTTTCAAAGGAAGTTCTTCACAAAACTGAGTGAGGCACAGCAGGTTCTCTAACAGGTAGGAACATATGAGGTTTCCTTCTTGTGGTCGGGGCAGGTCGGGGTGATGCCGTGGTGAAGAGTAATGTGAGAGGTGTAGGGTAGTCTAACACATTCTCATGAGACGTTGATTAGCTCTCTGAAAAGTGCTGTATGTTCTCAGGCAGGAAGTAGTAAGGTCCAAAATTGCATGAGCAACCCTGAGATCAAGAGGGGAGCCTATAACTAGTTAAGCCAAAGCCCCAAGTTTTGAAGTGGTGGCTATTGCCCTACAAAAGGGGAGTAAGCCTTTGAAACCAGGTCAAGGAGACAAGGTTTTGATGGCTCCCATGCAGTTGAGTTAAAACTCTAAGAGCTTGTTCAGATGACTCATGTCCAAATAGATGAAAGGATGGTTCATTGGGAATGCCTGTGGAAAGGTTCTGTTGACAAGCCTTCTGCAAATTCCAGATGCCTATTCATGACTTAGATTAAGAGTTGTCACAATCTCAGGAAAAGCTGACACTTGTTGTTTACAATATCCAGTTAAGCCTAAAAACCCTCTGAGTTGTTTTGTGAGAGATCTAAGATATTTGGGTAGTCCATTGCCTTATCAAGTGAAGAAAACCAAAAATTTTCCATCCTGAAGCTGCTTTTTTTAGATATTAATACTAAGCTATTTATTAAGAAAAAAAAAAAAGGCTCAGAAAGAACATTTGATCCTCCTCCCTTTCCTTCCCAAGAAATTCATACAGAAAAACCTGCCTTGGCGGGGAGCCTTGGCCTAATTACCTTAAGAATCTTTACCCCAACCTTAATCAGGCATCTGAGCTAGATGCCCCCACGTCCCATTGTTTCTGAGTTGCCCTGCAGGGATTTTCCTGTCATGTATGTTCCTCTCTTTCTCAGCTTTCTTAGATTCTCACTCACTTCTGAAATCTAATACCCTGCCCCCACGCACGCCCACCTTCTTTCTCCTTTGTCCAAAAATGTCATATATACCTGGTGTTGCCTCACTGTCTTTAGAATGTTCATGCGTATGTGAATTCCCCATGCACATGTATTAAAATTTGGTTTTCTCCTGTTAATCTCTCTGTTAATTTGATTATTGGCCCAACGAGAAGAACTTAAAAGGTAGGAGGAAATCATTAATTTTTTTCTGCCCCCACACGAGAGTGATTTTCCTCTTTATCTAAGTGATAATCTCAATAATTATATTATGTCTTAGCAAAATTATAATTTACCTTTTGAATCTTTATGTCCCCTTTTTGCTAAAGCTTAGAGCAAGTAAAGATTCTTTGTTCTCGAATAAAACAGGCGATCATGTATTATTGTATCAGAACTGAATTACAAGGGAAACTTAGATCTTTTAGGTCTTGGTTGAGGACCCAGGAAGCATAGGAAGAGATTGGTGAACTGCCGGGACATGGCTATCCCAGTATACTGGTGTCCTCCTCATGTGTAGACAGAAAGGAAAGGAGTAGAAAAAGACAAAGATATGTTCTGGTTAGAGCTTGTTGGGTGCGGAAGCAGAGGGCAGACTAATTAGAAGCAAAGAGCTTATATAATCAGTTCGGAAGCATATTTGTCCTTTTCTGGTTGGTTCTGAGATGGAAGCAGAGGCAAAAATCGGGAAGCTGATATTCACTGACCAAGTCCTGACCATGGTGGGCCTGTTGCTGTAGAGGCTGTGGTTTAGCTTCCTGTAAACCTCATATCATTTATCTCCAACTACATCTAGAAATGATTTTAAAAAATAATTGGTGCATGAGGTAAGATTTTGCAAAGCGGAAATATATAATGTCTTACTTAACAAACTATTGGCAGACACGTGAAAACGTGGACTTTTCTCCTTAATCCTATTAGAATTAATTTTTCTCTGTAATTGTTTGTGTTGTTACAGAAGACCTTGACGATTTAAGAATGGAGGGAGTAACTACCCTGGTACCTTCTGGGAGCAAATTTAACCAAGGTCGTGCTGCATACCCTGCTGAACCTCAGGCCAAGGTCACACTCAACATCTGTTCAAGGTGTGCCAGGTAAAACAAACCATAGGTATGGTACCTAACAATGTGAATTTTAAAAGCTAAGATTTTGATGCAAAGCGTGTACTCCTCTGTGTTCAGAAAATCTTTTCCTTCTAGTTATCTTTTGTAGTAACATTGGCAAGGGAGTTTGTCGTGTTATATTCCGTGCCCAGTGCCACTCAGACTGACAATGAATCAAAGAGCTTAGATTGTCTTCACATCACAGTTTGAGACTGCTTTAAGTCTTTCTGTTTCTGAATTTCATTTGTTGTCTGCCCTTCTGTTCCCTTTCAAAGGAAGATTCAAGGGGCTCAAAAAGTTCAAAGCCAAGTTTAAAGCACCTGCTTCAGGCCCAGGTTTGCCCAGGTACAGTGTAAGATCTGATACTATTGGCCTCTTAACCTGCCCCTTATCCTGTTCACCTCCTAGAAAGAATTTAATCAGCTTGACGCTTTTCAGTTTTGGCAGCTGGAAACAATCTTTGTATAGACGGTATGTGGCCAAAGAAGTAGCTTAAGTTACTGCCAAGTCAGCTCCCAGTGCTGGTCTAGCAGAAACTCACCAAATAGCTAGAATGCATTCTTTTGTAGAAACTAAATCTCATTTGCAAAGAGGCTTTTAAGCCTGTTTAAATGATAAAACAAGCCTTCTAACCCTTATGTAAATGGTGCAGATTAGCAAGAACAATGCGCTGGCTGGCTGGTTTTATCTCCTTTTCTTTATGTCTAGCTCCGTCCATTGTACAGTTTGAGAGGGGATTAGCTGCTTGGAAAAAAGGAGGGCGGAGTACAGGAGAATGAAATCAGAGTTTTTGTATCTCTTCCTCTTTTCCTTTTACCCCCTTTGGGATTTTTATTTTAAGTGTCACAGGCTTAGAAAAATAGAAATGATGCCTCTTAAAGAATCAGGGGGTAGTGTTGGGGACCATTAAGAGAAATGCCATAGTATAGTGAAAACAGCAATAGAAACGTTGCTTAGACAAGTAACATTTGGGTTAATTGACTTTTTGCTTAGGGCTGTAAAGAAAACTGGTAATATTTATATGATGATAATTGGGCATCCTGAGTATACAAGGCCATCTATGGAAGAGTTGTTTCACGTCTTTAATAAAATATTTGTACATTTTGTACACATTTGTACATTTGCAATTTGAGTGGACAGGGGTTGGTTTTCATATACTTTGGAGAAGATTGGGATATAAGGGGTCGGTCTTTCAAAAAGGAAAGCCTATGGAAATAATATGTTTTACTGAACTATTGAGGATTTGAATTCCGAGCAAGAAGACCAAGCACAAATTCAGCCCTAAATTATTTACCACTCATCTTCCCAGTGGTAGAGTTAGGCTGTAAATCTCAAACAATCTGCTTTTAAGATGAGCCCTTAATTGGATTTATTGAAGAAATATTCAGTTGAATAATTGGTTACACTTATTGCATTCTCACTATGTACCTGATGCTATTCTAAGCACGTTAAATACATAATGTCATTTAATTCTCAAATAATGCTGGGCATTAATAACTATTATTATCTTTATTTTGTAGATCAGGAAACTGAAGCATGAGTTGGTAAACTAACTTGTCTAAAGGACAAGTAGGTGGCAAAACGCAGTTTCAAACCTAGGCAGTATGGCTTGCCAGTCCGCTTATTTTGTTTTATTGCTAAGCACCAAACTATTGTCTGAAGGCAAAGATGGAGGCCTAAAATAGATAGAAACACTGAGATTTAGGTGTTTGAAATGATGAGAGTTTGTGATTGTTTTGTTGGAGAATAAGGCAGTGTTGCACTTTCAAAAGCAAGCTAGAGATGTATTCATTCAGCGAAGTGTGGTAACCAGCATAGAGGAAGACAATAGGCTATTGATTTTAGAGAAACTGCTGTAGCCAGAGTTTAGAGTAGGAGAAAAACTAGTGTCAGTTGTCAAGAACTATGAAGAACCTGAGATTTTACCCTATTTGCCACCCAACATGCTAGCTAGTCTGCCACTGTTTTATAGATGCTGGCAGAAGACATGAAACTCCTGGGTTAGAGACTAAGGACTTAGTGCTCATCACAATAACAATTACCAGAGTTTAGTATTCTCACTGGTTTCCTGAGGCACAAGTCTCACAGAATGACACACACACAAAAATAGGGTAGTAGGTTGAAGTAAGTGAGAGGAACCCTGAGTTTAGGGAACCTGAATATTTTACAATGGGAAGTTATCATTGCTCTAGAAAGACTCCATATCTATCTTCAGAGGCTGTTTGCTGTATAAACATCCCTGAACAGATTGTCTGATGCAAAGGCTGTCAGTGGCTCTACTCATTAGATACGTGGAAACATGCACGCCTCCCAGATTTGTCTCCCAATACTGGAGTAGACTACTTGTGTAGTGCATTGATGTGGTTATCGGAATTCTCCATAATTAATTCTCAAACATCATTTTGTGTTGATGGGTTACCTTTCTCAGCTGCGAGTGTTATACTTTTTAAGCCAGGGCTGAGCAATTACCTGAGGCGGAAGTCATAACCTGAAAGACTGTGGGTATTGTCCAGGTTTGTGTGCCCACATGCCATTTAAAAATACCACTGGACTAGTTAACCAATTTTACATAAAAATTGGGATTTTTATCATCTCTTAAAAATGCATACAGGTGATGAAAATGGGCCCACATTCTCAAATGGTTACACACTAGCAGCTTTTCCCTCTAGACCCTTACACCCAGCAGTTGTACTCCAGTTCACCTTAGATTTCCAGCTTCACTTATTTATACTATTACCTGTCTGCAGTCTGTAGGCCTTTGTTTGTAACCTCTGATTTATAGAAACATTGGAACTCCACAGATAATCAGTGAATCAGAATTGGAGGAAAGCAGGCTGAGGAACTGGGCCAGGCCCCTGGGAGAAGGTGCCCAGAAGAGGCAGATCCTATTGTCTCAGGGTACCAGGGTATAGGCAAGGATTTATGGTAGGTAGGATGTAATCTTCGAATGACCAGGCAGTCTCTCAGCATGAGTCCATAGAAATCCAGCTCTATAAACTAGACCAATGGGGAGAAAATGATTGCTCCATTCTCATTGCTGTCTTTGCGGGTGCTGGTACTCAGCCTGGACATTTGAGAGGTAATGCAGACTTCACAGAGGAAGCTGCACATTGGATTTTGGACCTGGGATGAGGATATAATTCCAGATCGTACTGGATTGGAGATTGGTGCTAATGGATACGAAAGTTTAGGATAACAATGCTAAGTTATGTCATGTACTTATCAAGACCTTTCAAGGCTTTTTCATAGTAAAGGTACACAACTCCTTTGAAGTATGATAATAGGATCTAATATCCACACTTTAAATTACCATTTTGGAAAAATTAGACAAATATTCATAAAATCTGGCCTCTCTTCTGTGAAACAGAGTTCATGTAATCCTGGGGATAACCTCCAAGGACAATTGAGAGGACTGGACAGAATAATGTATGCAAAGGCAGCTAGAGAAGAGTTCACAGTTCAAGGCTCTCAAGGGTCAGGGGTTTCCTCTTCTCTTCCTCTCACTCAGTGGGGTAATTACCATATAAATACTTCAGCAGTTTAAAATGCTTTGAGTTTGTTTTGGTTTTTTTTCCCCCAACTTTTTGAGAGGCCCACATTGGAAGTGCTCAGGTATTCAGGAAAAAAGAACTTAATTTTCCTGATATTTTGGAGATTTTCTCCTGCCTTAGATTTCTGACTGACCAGGGAGAAAACCATAGTCCACCTTTCAGGATTTTTGTGTTCAGTAAAACTGTAAGGTAGTGATTTCTTTTATTTGTTGTTTTAGAGTTTTAAGGTCAAGGAATCATTTTTTTTCCATAGAACTGGAGAGATGAAATGTAATAAGTAAGCTTAATCGACACATTGCGATCGTGAAATACTGTAGTCACAAGATACTATCAACAACCTCAATTTAGAGTCAGTGAGACTCAAGTGATGTTCAGAGCTTCTGCAAATAACCCATCAATGATCAAGTTAGTGAAAAGAGGTGGAGCCTACTCTTTAGATTGTCTTTTTTCTCAATCTCTTTTTAAAATACTGCACCACTCGTGAGCTATTTATGGGGTCACAGTAGCTAGAAGTGAGTGTGCATATGATATGCCCAGAACAGTTTTGCTCTATCAAGCTGAGGGCATACAGCTGAAAGCCACAGAACCCTTCTCATTCAGAACCTGCTTGGAAGACATGATCTGTAATGAGACATACATTGTACTGGGAGTGACTGAGGGATGTAGATACACATGACCCCTGGAGGGACTTCCACTTTACCAGATATCAGGACCAGAGGGATTCAGCCCACATTGAATTAGTCTGTAAAGCTCTGTGAGCCACAGTGACTAAAATATCAGGACTGTCAGAAAGTGTATTGATTCCCATAATTACAAGAAATAAGGTCACAGAATTTTTTATAAATACAAAGGTGCCCAAAAAATGTGTACACATTTTTCCTATACACATTTTAACTATTTTAAAATTGTAGTACAGTGAATCCTGCTAGCATTTATTTGATTAACACCATATTTTGAGTGAACGTCATACTGTACATTGCTGCCATAATTCAATTCAACTTTGAAAAGTAATACATAGATAACATCTCTTAAAATGTGTACATTTTTTGGCACCCCTGGTATTTCACACATGGTTAAGAAATACAGATGGAAGAAAGCTTGTGTTTTTAAGCTGGAAAATTATCCAGGGTAGTGTTACTCCCATAGCTCTTAGTGACCTTAGTCGGATGTGGACATTGCTGCAATCTGCGTGATGTAAACAAAGAGATGACATCCTCTGACAAGTGGGAAAATGTGTGGCTGATAGATATATGACCACCAAGATGTATTCAGATTATAACCCAGAATATCTCATTTTTCTTCTCTCAGATGATAAGTTAGAGAAGCCATTGTAAAACTACAATTTTAAGTAAATAAATAATTTTTGGTGTAGCATATAGCAGTGTCCTTATAATTGGTGTTTGTATTCATTACAAGGTAGATTTTTAATATGTTAATTGA